GACTTTCACCGGACCAAACTGAGGCCGAGATGGTGGATCGCTCGCCACCGCCGCCGTCGCTGCTGTGATCCGTCGTCGGGTCGAGTGCCTTCGCCGGCTCCTCCTCCTCCTCCGGTGCCACCGCCTCCGCCGCCGTATGATGTTCGTCAGAGGGCCCTCGCGGAAGCGGCGGTCGGGGGCGGTCCCCGTCTACCTCAATGTCTACGACCTCACCCCCATCAACGGCTACGCTTACTGGCTCGGTCTCGGCGTCTACCACTCCGGCGTCCAAGGTGAGCTCCGATCCGCGCACGACGGCCCCGATTCGGGTGATAGCGGTGATCGGGATGGGTCTTCTTTAGGGTTTGGCTAAGCTATTTGTGCTGGCAGCGCACGGGGTGGAGTACGCTTACGGGGCCCACGAGCACCCGACGACGGGGATCTTCGAGGGGGAGCCGCGGCAGTGCCCAGGGTTTACATTCCGCAAGTCGATCCTGATCGGGCGCACCGATCTGGGGCCGCGGGAGGTGCGGGCGCTCATGGAGGAGATGGCCGCGGAGTACACCGGCGACACCTACAACCTCGTCTCCAAGAACTGCAACCACTTCTGCGACGAGGCCTGCCTCCGCCTCACCGGCAAGCCCATCCCCAAGTGGGTCAACCGCCTCGCCAAAATCGGTATTCCCCTTCCCCTCAACCCCCAAATCCCCGCTTTCTCCTCCCCAAAGATTCGACTTTTACGGTGGTATCCCGACGGGCGCCAGGATACCTGTGCAACTGCGTGCTGCCGGTGCAGGTGGCGTCGGTGAGGCAACGAGCGACGGACGAGGGGAAGAGCGGCTCCCGAGGCGGCGGCGTCGAGAATGAGAGGAGGACGCTGAGGAGCAATTCCACCACCAACTCATTCGCCACCTCCGCCGCTTCTTCTTCCGACGACCCTCCCACTAGAATCTCTCAGCCTGTGGTCACCATCTCCTCTCGCTCCGCGGCGAGTAGGAGCCGCCGCCCTTCCTCCTCCGGAGGAGGAATCTCCTCCACCTTGACGGTCTAACCTCGGCCACCGCCTCGCCGAGGGTGAAGGTCACTTTACATACATACTTGTTTTCTTGTGCCATGTGTCAGTAGAGCACCGAGAGAGCACGGAAAGTGCTGTTCGAGGGCAAGCAACGGATCCGGTGTTGGCCATCCTCGTGCGCGGGGGGTGTGCTTTGTTTCCTCCGTATGTATCAGAAGCCACTGATGGTGATCGGACGGCTGTAAAGCAAGTGATGGAAACCCGCCACACGTGCGAGTCGAGATGGCCGTCCTTCTCCTAGCATCATCTTGAGCCTTTCCTTCCTCGTGCCCATCATGATGGTGGGAGTTTTGTGCGTGTTCTTTTGAGAGAGCTGTCCTCATCGATGTGGGTTTGGGGGAAAGCGTAGATAGTGGTGGTGGGGATGGAACTCTTCCATGGATATATCATATCATCCATGACACTAATCATTCTAACAGTTATCAAGAATAAGATTATTATAGTTGGAATCTGTATGATTTGGCAACATAAAAAAGCCAAGGAAATACATTTGGTGGGATATTGGTAAAGCAGATTTATAAAACATTTATAGATATTATAAGAGAGGAGATTATGTATCTTTTTATGTAGCATTCTTGTGCAAAACTTCATCATTTTCCTCTTTTGCAACATAACAAGTTAAAACATAGCTCGACTACCATATTTGCTTCCTCAATTTTCTTGGCTGTCTCAATTTTGTTTCTGTTCAAGGGAGAAATGGAAAAAAAAAAGACAGCTTGCAAGCAATGGATTGTTTTGCAGGTATGTGAGAAGAGTGATACAGGTTATCATCCTTTTTGGTCCGAGGACAGATCCAAGTCAGAAAGAGTGAATGGAGCCTAATCCATGTTCATCATTCTGCTGCAGAATGGAGTTACACCAACCTGAGTGGGCTGGTTTTAGTGGTCCGCAGAACAGATTAGGGGGTGGCACATGGCTCTGTTTCAGGTTTTATTGCTGACCTAATTCAATACGAAGGACTCCTCTCTCTCTCTTCTTTTCTTTAGGACTTGGTTGATTTGTCTGCTTCAGAACATCCAATAGATGGCTCAGAACAGCCTGTCAGAAAGCCTTTGCAAGGGGGAAAGTGGTCAATCCTTTCTCTGTAGGTAATCTCCAAAGCAATTCAGGTTTTCGATAGCCCTGCTTCTTGCCTGCTCACATAAATAGCTCCGCTACCCATATTTCCAAATTATCTACGACTGTCAGGATTTATATGTTTTCAGTCAAAATGGAGGATTGTGCCATTTTTTGTTTGACCCCTCCATCAAAACTTTAATGTTCTCAAAAGCTCCCATTCCTCAAGAAACAAATATCCTCTTAATCCTCGGACACCCATGCAAACTAGTTGTATGAATCTTCCTTGTGAAGAATACCTCAATTCTAACTGCTAGAATTCTACGTCAAATCTGTTTGTGAGATGAATCTAGGAAAGCAGAACCAGGTATTCATTCCTCTGAAGCCATTACTTGGATTCTACCAGTTGGAAATACTGGAACGAGCAAGTGTTACAGGAGTTGGCCACCGAGCTCCACATAGATGTGTTGTGTCCGATGCTTCTCTAGATAACTCGACACCACCTCTTTGTGGTTACTCTCTTTCACAAACCAGTTGCCCTCTGTTCGTTGCTCCCTTTATCCGCCTGTGTTCACTTCGGGTTGATGACCTTCAGTAGACACAATTCTTTTCGTGTGATGATCACATCATTGATTTCTCCCAAGTGTTCTGTTGCTTGTGGTGACTCCCTTAGCTTTTTTTTTCTTATCTCTAGTTAGAAAGAAAAGCTTTTGGGTGGCACTTGGCTTTCTGTAATCCAACTCATTCCCTTGGGGAGGTACAACGTATGGATTCTAATACGAGACAAGAATTGACACCATATCATGGAAGAAGAAGAAGATGTGATCTGTTCCGTTGCACGTACTCCACTACTTCAGGGCTTTTACCATGATCATGCTATCTTTTTCTGCCGGAGTCTTCGTTCTTGGAAATGACAAAGTGATGTGATGCTGAAAAATGACACTCGCTTCAGGTGACGCTGCCTATTTCAGATGCTCTGCATTTGGCTGGTAGTGACGCTGCCACAGCTTACTACCTTGTGAGTGCATTCACTGCATTCTTCAAAACAAGTTCTACCAAATGATAGAAAATAAAGGAAAGATCAAAGAAAAAAATAAACTGACAGTTCAACAGGATGCATTCAGTGACATATTTGAAGATTTCCAAAATGCAGGTATCGATATGGAATAGTCACATTTATGCCCAACTAAGGATCATAATATTTTAAGGATGGTAATATGTACCCTAGAGATTATCCAAGCTCACCAATGAAGACAACAACAACAAGGTTGTATGCAGGTTCCAATTTTACTTAAATTCATCTTTGGAAAGAATGAGCTTCTAGTGGAGTGTCAGGGTTGACAAGTATTTTAAAAATAAATTTATTTGGAGGATAAAAAATTTAAATTTTATGAAAAGAAATTTTTGTGAATCGGAGTTTAGTTGTCTTGTAAATAGCTAATATATCTCAACGTCTTAATAAGAATGAGACATCATGATAAAAATACCCTAGGTGGTGATAGTTTTATATTGATATTTTTGAGCTTTTATTTATCAGATTATTTTGATGTCTTCTCTCCCCATTAAATAAAACTCTTCATTCACCCCTAAATAGTTGTAAGGAGATTCGTCGGCTTGATCAAAGTTGATGCATCATAGAGATTTGAACCTAAAGTATCAAGGTACCGACATACTCGATGAGATTCACAAGTTAGAATTGATCAAACATAGATAAATAAATGGTTAATTTTAGTTTTTCAAAATGTATTTCTCTTTTTGTGATATTTTTTATCCTCGTCATATGATATTAAGAAATATCATAACAAAGTCTCCGCTCTCAGAAAATATATTCTTGTAGAGGTTTGTCATTCACTACAAGGAGGAATTCCAGAGCTCATTGAGTTGTATAATGAAAGCTTCAGGAGCAGTGATGCTTTAAATTTGGTCACATATTTTTCATAAATAGATGGATTTTAATGGTGCTATGTAATTTTGGATCTGCAATGCCAATACATAGATGAATTAGCTGTGTCATCTTTTTCCCAAATACGAACAACAAAAGGAAATGGTAATTCCCGGTTCCTGCAATTCTTTGTAGCAGATGCCGACTTCTCTCTGTTTTTTCCTATCAGTTTCAACAAAACAAAAGTATCATGACAGAAAGAGAAAAACAAGAGCTGGAGGTGGAGAGGTTTGGGAACATGATATTAATAAAAGAGGATCATGCACCTTTTTATGGCTTGTTAATCTTTTGTTGAAATGTATTTGTAAGAGGTAGGTAGTAGATAAGAAGAGGTTGTAGGGATTTCTTGTAAGAAAATGACTCTTAATGCTTGTTGATTTTTAAGTCAACAAATCAGCTTGTAAAGTCATCAGCAAACAGCATCAACTTGTGCTTCTGTCTTGCTTCAGAACCTGTTGTTACTCGAGGAAAACCATTCTTTTCCATCGTCAATCATACTTGTGCCAAGGAAAACTGGTAGCTCAGACTAACTTTTTGCTCGTGTCAATCGATCCTGCTGCCTAAGTGCAAGAATTCCGGCATCTTGATACTGAATTTGCTCCATTTTTTTTTTTTTTTGTTTTCTTCTATTTCCATTCTTTGGGTTGTAGACTTTGTGCTCTAATTTTGAGTTGTATTTCCTATAGTCTGAAAAGCTATTGCTCTTCTTCGTTCATAATCAGCCATATTTTTGCTCCTTTGGCTTTCAGAATCTGGTTGGAGCAAGCAAGTTCTTTTATGGATGTCATCTTTGGCATGGATTGACGACCTCCAAGTAGAAGCTTTCCTCTGATCAGATCACCAGGCCTACTCAATCGTGGTCCTCGATGAACATGAGATAAAAGTAACTTGGCCTGCTTACAAAGTACAAGCTTCCAAGTGCAAGCTTCCTCTTGGTAACTCTAACATAGACTGGAGTAGCTTTTAGAGGCTACCAGCTACTCCTAGAGTCCGTAACTTTCTGCTTAAAACTTCATAGAACACTTTTTCTCATTTCGGACAGACTTGCTGCTTTAAATATTTCCCTAGTTCATCAATTTTGGTGCTGCAGAATATGAGACTGAATCCATCCATAATAGATCGTATCTTCTTTTCTTGTCAATTTGCTTGAGAGTTTTGGAACTACTTTCAGATCTATTTGAATGAACTTTCCACCTAATCTAATCGAATGATTGGCTTAAAGAAGAGCTTTTCGTCTATGGCAAATGCATTCATTAATCATTAATCACTATGGCATGCCTGAAATCATACTCGCTCTAAGCTTAAAAGCCTCCTCTTCAAAGTATTAGCATATGCTGCTTCTTACTTATTAGATGCTAATATGTTTTGAATGGAAACCACCCAATTATAACTGGTTTAAGCTGAAGATTGATACATCTTCTTGGTCTACTGATCATGCATATGGTATTACTCTTCATTATTCTATTGAAAGCTGTGTAATTGTAGATGCTGAATGTATTTTTGATAGTAGTGATGTTGGGGTTATGACGAAATTTTAATTTCATTGGAGCTTTAAAATATTTTTATTTAGATAGATTACAAATCATATCGGTTTTTCTTGTTATGATTTAAACAAAGTTGAAGGTTTATTTAGCGACAAATTTATATATCTTATTATGATGATGGATTGTGGTCTGAAATCCATCTAATTAATTTGTATGCATAAATATTTTATCTAATGATTTTATACATCTAAAAAAAAAATTGGTCTAATAATTTAATCTAAAATATTCTATCCAATTTATTGAGAATATTAACTTCGATCTGCGAATTCTCTCTCTACCGCTAGCTCTTAGGGTTTCGAGGTGTTTTGCTTTTTAGGCGCAGTCGGTGACGGTTTTGGTGAATACGGTGTTGGTGACGGTTTGTGTCTTCGGACAAGAAGAGGAGACCGATGAAGAGGTCACCGGCATCCTCTCTCTTCTCCAAAACCCTCTACTTCATCTATCGCCCTCGTCCCGCCGATGCTCTACTTTCCTCCTCCTCCTCTGACTCCGTCGCCGCTACCGGAAGCGGAGCTCTTCAGCCCAGCTTCATGTCCGAATACCTCGTCACGTCATGTGGCTTCTCCCCGGAGAAGGCGACCAAGGCCTCGAATCTCCTCGGCGGCATCGCGTCCCGCCGGCAGCCCGACTCCGTCCTTGGCTTTCTCAAAAGCCACGGTTTCGACGACACCCATGTGAAAGAGCTGCTGTCTGGGAACCCCCGGTGGCTTCTCCTCGACGTGGAGAAGACCCTGGCCGCCAAGTTCCGAGCTCTCCAGGAGTTAGGCTTCTCACAGTCCGACATCACCCAACTCGTCCTGACCAATCCCTCCGCAATCAACTACCACATCCGCACCGTCGTGCACAGGATCCGGTTTTGGCAGGGACTCATCGGATCCAACGACCTCCTCATAAAGCTCTGTAATCACCACCAGTGGCTTCTCGGGTATAGCGTCGAGAAGAGGATCCAGCCAAACATCGATATGCTACGGAGCTGTGGATTCACGGATCAAAAGCTTAGAACGATCCTGGGGTACCACCCCACGTTGGTAACCCAGAGGGCGGAAACCTTGAGGACCTTGATCAGTCGTGTCGAGGGATTCGGAGTAGCCCGCACCTCGCCGAGGTTCCACTTGACTCTGTGGATGCTCTCCAATGTTAGCGTGGAGAGATTCAATGCGCAAAAGAAGCTATTCGGGGCCTTCGGGTGGTCAGAGGCCGACTTCCTCGACGCATTCAAAAAGACTCCTGGTTTCTTGACAAGTTCCTTGAAGAATCTGAAGATGAAAATGGAATTCTTGGTGAATGAGGCTGGATATGCTCCGTCTTATATCGCCCTCCGGCCTGTGCTTTTGACATATAGTTTAGAGAAAAGGGTGATCCCAAGATATCAGCTCATGGCAGCCCTGAAGTCCAGGGGGCTGTGCGCTGGTCATCCCAAATTGTTCACATATATCTCGTGTTCAGAGAAGAAGTTCTTGGAAAGGTATGTCATCATCTACAAGAAGCAGTTTCCGGAGCTCATTGAATTGTACAGTGCGAGAAAATAGTAGTTCTGGATTTGCTAGCTGTAGATTTTGGTTCCTGCAATCCATGGTTTCAGGTTCCAGCCTTTTACCCTCTGCTTAACTTGATCTGCAGTTTGAGACTTATTAGTATTATGATTTATGTCATTTGCTTCCTTTTTTTCTGGTGCATTAAGAGGAATGTAGCTGCATACATGTAGAAAGAAAGGAAAGCAATATGAAGTGGAACACAATGACTTCTTGTAGCATGTTGATTCGGTCAATTGTTTCCTGATAATTACCTGCATAGGAAAAATTAGATACTGTAGGAATTTGTAGGAATTGAGACTGTTGTCCCATTCTTTTTTTTTAACCTACTTCTGGGAACACATTTGGCAGACGTGTGTGCTTGTGTGTGTGTGTCGTGGTGACTATGAAACTGAAACAAATTCTTTGTTTGATCTATGGCTCTCCTTGATGTGCATTGAAGTAGATGCTTTGCTTATGTTGTAGCTGATATCATTATGTTATCATGAAGAATTTTGAGATGATGGTTTCAAAGGTCACATTACTATTACACTATGGAGTTATGGTTGCATCGTTTTTTTCTCCTTTGATGAAAAATTGGTGCTTTTGATCGATTTTGACATGATACGTCGAATCTGCATGGATGTTGTCTAAGATTGATCTAATTTTGGTCGGTTTCTCAGCTGAATCAGCTAGAATCCGTTGAAAATACTTGAGTTTATTGATTTTTGGGTGAATTTTACACTACTTGATGACCTCAAACTCAAAGGGAAGAAAAAAGAGGACGGAAGGAGAAGAAGAAAGAAAAGAGGAAAGTTGAGATGGTGAAACGATAAAAGAAAAAAGAGAAAACTGTGATTGTGATTCTAAATCAGAGGAGGGAACATTGCTTTTGCTTTGCTTGCTATTCACTGCATCCATCCACTGCATTTGTTGTTTGCTACTACATCCATCGGGTAGAATAGATGGAGGATTACAGGCAAAAGGAAGAGGACAGAAGTAACCCATAACCTAATATGAACTGTGCCTGCTCCTTATATTTATTAAGTTTTAGCCAATGATTTTGAGACTTTGGAAAATTGTGAACTAGTGATTGCATAGTGTCCATAATCATGTATACATTGCAGAAGCACTTCTTATTGTTTCGTCAGCATCAGTATAGAATAGGCAGCATGTTTGGTTGGTGCAATCCGATCAATAAAAGAAAATATTTCACAGGTTTGTGGCTTGTGTTCGTGAGCCCTCTTCCCCTTACATGCAAGCATGAACGATTGTTGTTGTCCGCTGTCCATTGCTCTGTCATTGATTTCAGGTATGCTTCCTCCACCTCTTCCTTCTGCTTCATCCTCATCCTCCACTATTTACTCCTTTCTTCGTTTAACTCCTTACTCTTCCTTTTTTTTTTTGTCTTTCTCGATGGTCTCATCTTCTTTCTTCCTCTTTCTCCTCCCTACTCTTAATACATGGCTTTCTCTTTTTCTTCGTCCGCCTTCCTCTTTCTTCATCCACTTTCATTTGATTCTTCCTTTTCGAGGCTTCAGAACATACCGGTACATAATGTGTCAGTATATTGGTATCTCAATCTATGGATTGGTACGTAGCGGTCTGGGCAGAGACAGATAAGTTACTAATCAGTAAGAGACTATAAACGCTGGTGCACTGCAAGCTTCAGTCGTACAAGTGCTCGACAACTTGGAAGAGTTTTCATTTGCTGCTCAGTATCTGCTACAAAGCTCTTCTATCGTTAGCGGTGGAAGGTAAGTTTGTGTATGTTAACACTACCCTGTATACCACTGAAAAGTGCATTTTACACAGAATTATGTTGTATTGACGTTTTGGGGGAAATTTTAGTTTAAAATTTGCTGAATTTGGCTCTTATAAAATGCATTAACAGTTAAAAAATGACAGCATGAGTTGATGATTGCATAGATGTGAGCAATAAGATGCTAAAATGGATCCTAATTCTACCTAATAACTGGATCAAAATGAAAGTTTCAATTAACCGGATTAATTCGTTGATTAAAATGATCTAAAAATTGTATCCAAATGGACGAAATCGATGAACCTTCTTATCCTTCCATGAAAAGATAATCCTCAAGGGGCAAATGCAAGATCGAATCCGATCATACAACACCATACAACACATGAACCCTAATCCTCATGGAACGAGATGGGTTAAACAATGTGGACCTGGTTAGAATTAAATATTTATCCTAATTTTAATAACTATTTATATATATTATATTTTGCAATACCAACTGGATCCGTGGCGCAATGGTAGCGCGTCTGACTCCAGATCAGAAGGTTGCGTGTTCGATTCACGTCGGGTTCAACTTTACAATATTTTCACATTTCGTTTTTGTTCCACTTGTGATTGGAGCACTGAACGGCCCCACAAGTGGACCCCATCCGATTCTTACGCTCCTTTTCAAATTTTCGATTTCCTTTTTCTATACCTTGTGATTGGATTACGGGACGGACCCACTAGTGGACCCCATCGATCATAGCTCCCTTTCCTTGTGTGAGAAATACATTTATAAAACACTAATTTTAGCCTAATTTCAATCTATCGAGATGTCAAAATATCAGTAAAAAAGGAAGAAAATTAGCTGATAAATGAACACATGAATAAATTTGTGGCACAAAATCTAGGTTCGAACAATTACATACAATACGGTTTTAAAAAATAACATTAATCTAAATATACACAAATATATATATATATATATATATATATATATATATACCTCATCCAAATCCCCTTTCTTCCTGTCCCCATTCTCCGTCCGCGATACATCGTCGTCGCTTTCCTTCGACAAATGCGAAGAGAAGACAAAGATTTGGAATTCAACCGCTGGCCAATTCGAAGCCCCATTTGGTTTGGCTCCCCCCCTTCCGCCTTCCTCCCTTTTCTTGCTCCGAATTAAATCTTCTTATGTGACGTTTGTCGTCTGAAACGACGATTCTCTTTGGTAGCATACATTTGATTCGTCTACACGAGGAGGATTGTGGTTTGACTTAAATGAGTACTGTGGGTTATCAACTTGTTTTCATGATAAAGGGGAATGACAAAGAAAGCCTGACAAAATTGCCAACCATGACATGAATCCCAACACATTATTATGTTCCGCTGAAGTTTCATTGGACTTAGCCTGATTAATTCTTTCATTAATTTGTTTAATGCTTATAAGGAGCAACATACAGTTAGATGACGTGTAGAATGTATCCAAATTGTGAAATTGGAGCTATAATTTCTCCCGTTGCACTACACATTCGATGACCTAGAAGTGGCAGAAAATGAAATATAACTTTTACATGGCAGTTTTAATACTTAGATGCAAGTGTTGGGAATCTCATTAGTTATTGGAATCGACAAGATACTTTATATGATCCACACGTCCGATAATAATAATGACCAAACACATTTATCAACTAGTCATAAATGAGAGACTTTTCAGATATTTAAAATTATTTTAAATTGTTTTGATGATGAAAGAAAGCATTAAGTATACTTTTAAAAAAAAATAAAGGATTGATGTTCCTTTTCTGGCCTATCTATACCATTAAGGGATAGACATTAAGTTCCATAAGACATAGAATAGAAGACACCAATTGTTTCTTAATAAATTAATCTAAGGAATCCACTATGTGAATTAATCAAAGGCTTATTTTTGGACAACTATGACTCAAGGTAAGTTTATTTCGTTGCATGTCCATTATAAATCCATTGTTTTGCTTACAACAAGAACATTTCAAATCTGTATGTATATGAGTTTTCTGATCTATTGTTCTCAATATTATTTTTTAAAACTACATAGAAAGAAAACAAAAGTGGTGAATAAAAATGTAATATTTAGATGGTAATTTTAACTTTTAGATACAAGTGCACTTCGAGCCTGTATGCCTTTGCATTTAATAATTATTCTTTTTGAATATTGTTCTCCGACACTACTTAGAAAGAAAACATAAGAAGGTGCTACAAAGGTGCATACACAGACTTCTTGTATCTGTGCTGCAAGAAGTACTTGTGACACTTGTTCTATGGCACAAAATGTGCTGTTGGTTTCTCTGGTACTTGAGTGACACACTAACCTCAGCTCTAGTAGATCATGTGTACAATGTGATCTTACATGTTGTTGTTCCTTTTTTCATTTTTTTTGTAAACTTGTTATGTCCAAGGTTGTATTACTCCTTTCTGTTCAAGAACATGCGAAAAATGCTGATTATTTCAGTGCTTTGACTTTTATTTCATGTCTCAACATGCTTTGTAATTAATCTTTGACTATTTGTTACATGTGCTGTTGCTTACTGATGGGGTCAAGGATTTCAAATAACGTTTGTGATTGAAACTGAGGATTTGAAATAATGTTTGTGACTGAAACTGAATAGATAGATTTGTAAGGCAACAGAGATTCTCTGATGAACTCTATCTCAACGAATTGTCACGGACTTAGCTAGTTTTGCCTAAATCGTGCGGCACCCTTGCGTGTCCGTCCATAAAGGTCAGCCTCCCCGAAACCTCCAATGATCCCTTAGGACCTACAAAAGAGAAAACGGGTTAAAGAAAGTGCCTCACTCGGGATCCACAAGCAAAATATCAGAAAACACATCATAGTCAATGCAAATTACAAACATACTTTACAAGCTCCGAACGGTTGCACAACAAAGGATTTAAAATGGTCTACTACAGACCGAAATCTCCTACAAGTGTCCATATGACACAACCTTTATTTACAAACCTAAAACGACCACCCAAACCCAACTAAAATGGGGTTGTTAAGCCTTCGACCGTCCTTCTATATGCTGTGCAAGGCATGAACATACCAAAAGACACAGACATACGTAAGCATTACATCAAACATCCTGTTTAGAAGTTTGTCCGTGACATTCTTCCCCACCCATTCCTTCGACGTCCTCGTCGAAGCCTTTGCGACATTGCAACTCCTCATCTTTGCTGAGTCTTCAATCTATTGATCTAGCTGCAATGCACCTCTTGGCTCCCAGCTACTCTCCGCTACTGTTATTGAGTAGTTGAATTTTTGATCCGCCATGCTGCTTCAACTCGCTAATGACTCTGACTCTAGTGTGGGGTTGGCTGAGTTGTGTTGATTCCTGTTGGTTCCTGCGGATCCTTCAGATGAAGGAAAAGACTATCCTTACTTTGCGCCAGTCTCTCAAATGACTCATGCTGCTTGAACTGGGTGGATGCTTGTTGGAGCTTTGACGAGCATCGCCTCGCAAAATTTTGATGTTTTTAGGTCATTCCTCCATAAAATTTGTCCATCGACTCTTCTTTCACTTAGTTATCCCTTCTAAGTAGGTTCGCATCACTTCGCTTTCGATTGACATTTCGTTGGAAAATAAAGCGGACAATCTACTCTCAATAGCACTGATCACCATTGATGAGGATTTAACAACTATTGTCTTCCATTATCTTCGAATGGTCTTTGAACCTGTGCAGAACTACTCTGTTGGATAAATAAGAGAATTGGGGTACTCGGTTTCGCCCATTCTCTTAAGAGTTGAGAAGACAAAGGTTACTTGACTTCACCCGCCTCCTCGAGGGTTGTACTCCATGTATCGAGCTGATTACTGGCCTTCACCTGCTCTTTGCTCAGACTTCTGAAGCACTTGAAGTGTTTGCACTCCTTGCGTTGAGTTAGTTACTGTGATTCACCATCTCAATGTTATCTTAACTTCTAGAATGCAGGAAGTTTTCACCCCAACTTGGAGTAAGTCTCTAGTAGTTTTGGTCGCCTCTAGGATTGTACCGTCTTCTCCATCAACCTTGTCGCCTACTCCACAGAGTAGCAAAGGTACAGTACCGCGTACTCCACAGAAGTCCTTCACTTTCGGCTATCTTGATGAGAAGCTCATTAACACCGGTCTTACGAAGTTCCCTAGCCTCTACCCTTCAGCCTTGTCTCAGTACTTGGAGTTTGCCTCTACATTCTCCACCTCCTCGGCCCCTTTCACGACCAAGCGTTCTCCCTCCATGAGAACAAGGGATCGATGACTTCACGGAAGTCCCACTTCTGCGGTACTATGGCACTGCCATGCCCATGGCCCTACTATCCGTCACCTCATATCTGCATCCCTTTTCTTCATTATCAGTAGATCTGCCTCTGTGGCACTTCTTCGAGGCCACCTCCATTCTAACCGATGCTTTGTTTTGGGTAGCTAAGTCCCTTTGGACTCGTCGTCACTTCCTTGCCCCTTTCAACCCCCTACTTCAACACCTCTGTATACTCCAAGCAGTTCCCCTTGGTCGACGGAAAGACAGACTGCAACTCTCATGCATGGCCTCTGCCATCATGTTGTAGGGTTTGCACCAATTCTATTCTCCTTAGTTTCCTTGGTAGCAACGTTCGCTTACTCGACCTTGTCCTTTGACTTGCCGGGCTCCCTTAAGTGAATATGAGCTCTAGAGTAGTCCAACTCTCCAACCGCTCCGATCATACCTCTGTATGATCAAGTCCCCTCATGGGACTTCCTGGTACTTGCATTCGAACTTTTCTTTCGATGTTACACAACCCCCATATGCTGATAACCAAGGCTTTCATCCGATATAATATTCGATGCATGCACGGAAGACCCGCCTCTGCGATACCATGACATTCACTCCTTGAATTCATAGCCTTTCTTACCACCGTGTTGTTCATCGAAGTGGAACTCCCAGTAGCTCCCGATCATTCCTCCGTATGATATAGTCCCTTACGGGATTATATTCGTGTGTATCGCATTGCCACGAACTGTTCCACCACGATCCGTTGCACCATGTCGCCTTTTGGTGACATCTCCATTGCATTCTGATCCTTGTGGGATGAACTCGGATTGTGATCCCTTCATGTGTGACCTCTGCCAATACATCGTAGGGCCTCTTCAACTTTCAATTTGTGTTCGCTCCTTTGGCAATCAGTCTTTGTCCACTCGCTCTCGGGTCACACCTAGATGAAGCACCACTCTAGGACAATCTGTCACCTAGTAGCTCTCGAAGTCCACCGACTTCGCTGAAATTGGTGCACTATTGTCTAGATCCTGGGTCTTTGAGCACCATCAAGTATGGTTGCCAACGTTGAGTCGTAGCTCAAACTCAGCCATCCTAACCTTTGTGCGCTACGCATTCTTTTCAACTTGCTTGTCCTCGTGGTGCCTCTTGCGCGAAGGGTTGGCCATTCCTCTAAATGCCACTCTCAGATGCCCGCTCCTCTGAACGACTCCTTTTCCCTACATCTTCATGCCCGTTCTCCCCAAAACGGTCGCGCGTGCTGGCTGCCCTCAATGCAGCCCCGCTAGGTCCCCCACGTTTGCATGCCAAGTATTTCTATGAGTGCTTGTCTCGCTCTGATACCATCTGTCATGGACTTAGTTGGTTTTGCCTAAGTCGTACGGCACCCTTACGTGTCCGTCCGCAAAGGTTAGCCTCCCTGAAACCTCTCATGGTCTCTTAGGACCTACAAAAGATAAAACGAGTTAGAGAAAGCGCCTCACTCGGGATCCACAAGCAAACATCTCAGAAAACACATCATAGCCAATGCAAATTACAAACATACTTTACAAGCTCCGAACCGTTGCACAACAAAGGATCCAAAATTGTCCATTACAAATCGAAATCTCTCACAAGTGTCCACATAACATAACCTTTATTTACAAGCCTAAAACAACCATCTAAACCCAACTAAAATGAGATTGTTAAGCCTTTGACCGTCCCTCTATATGCTTTGCAGGGTATGAATATACCAAAAGATACGGACATACATAAGCATTACATCAAACATCCTATTTAGAAGTTTGTCCGTGACAGAATGGCTGTTATAATATTTTGGTCTTTGTTATATACATATTTACATGAATTTTTCCTGTGAAATTTAGTTTTGTGGTATAAAGCACTATTATCAGCATGGTTTCTTTACTGTTTATCTATATCTATAATGTTTCATGTTGTGTTTTTCTTGGACTGCTCATTCAGTGCTGTTAATTCCCTGCTTTTCAGTTTTTCACAAGGAATCAATATTCTTGACCTTACATGCGATTCAATTATAGGCTTTTGGAATTGTTCCTCCATACTGAAACATTAGCATTTTTGTGACAATGGAAAATTTGATTTGTTATTCTTATTTTTTGTATTTCTTGGAGTTTTAAAGTATGACATTGGTATGGACTTCAAAGTAAATTGAACGGTGCAATTCTGTAGTTCTGTACTAGATGCCCTTAGTTCTGGAAGATGATGGACTGAAGTAGGTGCAGTGGCATTGATATCACATCACACACAGGTTCTTAATGCTAAAGCCCACGCTGCTAATTTTGTGGCCTTTACATCTCCTATCATTTTTCTGCACTTTCTTCCTTTAGTTGTTGTCTATGTCATGTTTGCTAATATTCATAATCAATAGAAGACTATAATATAGTATTCTAAGGTTATGCTGTTTTTTGTCGACCTTCAGGGTTCTTTTTCAACACATTCACTGAGTTGTAGTGCGTCAAGTAGAAGGGCAATTGTGAGGTCCTTGATTGTTCAGTTGCTGTATAAAACACTTGTTTGTGCCCCTGAAGCATCATTTTGAATTTAGGTAAGACTTCAAAACGAATGTGTTCGAAAGGAATATGACCATTTTTACCATAGTTGTTATTGGCTTTAAAAAATAACAGAGGTAGTTTTTTAAGATAAAGGAATACATGCTATGGATTGTTAATTTTACTAGAGTAATTGTTACTTGTAGGCTTGTTTAATTTAATGTTGCCCAATATCACTATATCCCCTCTTTGCAGCTATCTATGATTGGATCTAGAATCAGGTTCAGAGTACTTTGCTTCCTGGATTTGCAGTGGTACATGTCCGGAATGCAGAAATTTGTTGTTTGGTTTCATTGCTATGGTTACCATGTTATCCAAAATGAATGGTCTAATCCACAAAACTCACCCCCGCAGTTTGAAGAAGGTTAACATATTCAGCCTTACCTATACAAATAAAGAGGTCATTTCCATTGACTTTACAAACCTAAGTTGAGGACAAAAAGTCAAACTCATCATGGAGATAAGGCCAACCTTTGAAGTCATTTTTATTATAACATTTTTCCTCCCACTATTCAGTATCTTGTTGGGACGTTTCTCACTATTCAGTATCTTGTTAGGACATTTCTTAAGCTTAAAAAATTTGGAATTTGAACATCGTCTCTGATTTTTATTCTGCTGTTAGTGTTACATTTACTTTGTTCGCTATAAACGGTGTAGATTGGTAATTGTCTTTGACTCTTTGTTTGGTTAAATATATTGCAGTGTTGTTGAAAATGTTTAGCTTATGATAAAACTTTTGGTGACTTTATGGTGAAAATTTGCAATCAACTGAATGAATGCATTCCTCTTGATGACATCGTGATACAGTATTGAATGTGGAAGTGTACTGCCAAAGTGATAGTGACCTTTTGTTGCCCGTGTTATGATGACCAGTTGATTTTGCAAGAGGCAAATCATATCTTACAAATGGGTATGGTATAAGATAACAGACATGATAGTATACCTTACATGCTGATATTGGCTGACATGGAGGCCTAACATTTTCAGAACCACGTGAATAGATGTTGGTGGATTACTTTTTATAGTTTTGATTTTTTGGAACCTTTTTATGTGCTTATCTATCATAAAATGGAACAAATAAGTTTTGATAGCAAGGAATTTCTATTTGTTTTTGGGCCATTGTATGGAATAAATAAGTTTTGATAGAAGGATTTTGTGGCACACATCTTTTTCAAATAAATGGTCTTAGTTAAGGAAAGTTGAGATTGAATTCCAAATACCATTCAGTCAGCTAACACCCCATGGTGCCTTATTTTCTTTTCGTTCAAGAATTTCGACTTCTTTTACTCTTTTGATCGGCTTAGTTAGTTAGTATTTGTTGATAAGATCTATCACTATGTTTAGATTCCTTGGTCTTACCACTTCAATTGAGGATCCAACCTAACTCCATGAGGTTGACTACGATGGGCAAATTTCATCATAAAAAACAGGTTATTAAATATATGTGTACTAGCCTTTGGCATATTATTTTTCATCGTAGTCTTTTGGAGGACAATAAAATGAATTTTTTGTCCATTTTTTATGAGTATGTGTTTCTTCAGTAGTTTGGTATCATGAAATTAATTTTAGGTACCCATGAAATAGTTTGTATTAAAGAATATTTTGGTTGTTCAAGGTGTTGGGCGCGGAGCGAACCTCGATTGAAGCTCGGGTCTATCATCAATTTGATGTTGGGAGACAAGTAGGTTTGGTAGAAGATCCTACAAAACTAAAAAAGGGGCATGCCCGACAAAAGCCTTTCCAAAGTATAGTTGGAGAAACGTAACATTTGCTTCAAAGGGTTCAAAAGGGGTGTTAAGTGACTTGCTCTTAGGGTTTCGAGGGTTTTTTTGCCTTTTAGGCGTAGTCGGAGAGGAAGGGAATACGGTGTTGGTGACGGTTTGTGTCTTCGGACAAGAAGAGGAGACCGATGAAGAGGTCACCGGCATTCTCTCTCTTCTCCAAAACCCTCTGCTTCATCTATCGCCCTCGTCCCGCCGATGCTCTACTTTCCTCCTCCTCCTCTTACTCCGTCGCCGCTACCGGAAGCGGAGCTCTTCAGCCCAGCATCATGGCCGAATACCTCGTCACGTCATGTGGCTTCTCCCCGGAGAATGCGACCAAGGCCTCGAATCTTCTCGGCGGCATCACGTCCCGCCGGCAGCCCGACTCCGTCCTTGGCTTTCTCAAAAGCCACGGTTTCGACGACACCCATATGAAAGACCTGCTGTCTTGGAACCCCCGGTGTCTTCTCCTCGACGTGGAGACGACCCTAGCTGCCAAGTTCCGATCTCTCCAGGAGTTAGGCTTCTCGCAGTCCGACATCACCCACCTCGTCCTGGCCAATCCCTTCGCAATCAACTATGACGTCCGCACCGTGGTGCACAAGATCCGGTTTTGGCAGGGACTCATCGGATCCAACGACGTCCTCGTAAATCTCTTTAAGAGCCGCCGGTGGTTTCTCGGGTTTAGCATCGAGAAGAGGATCCAGCCAAACATCGAGATGCTACGGAGCTGTGGAATCACGGATCAAAAGCTTAGAACGATCCTGAGGTACCGGCCCACGATGGTAACCCAGAGGGCGGAAACCTTGAGGGCTTTGATCAGTCGTGTCGAGGGATTCGGAGTACCCCGCACTTCGGGGAGGTTCCACTGGACTCTGTTGATGCTCTCCACTCTTAGCGTGGAGAGATGCAATGCGCAAAAGAAGCTATTCGAGGCCTTCGGGTGGTCAGAGGCCGACTTCCTCGATGCAATCAGAAAGACTCCTTTTTTCTTGACAGGTTCCCTGAAGAATCTGAAGATGAAAATGGAATTCTTGGTGAATGAGGCTGGATATGCTCCGTCTTATATCGCCCTCCGGCCTGTGCTCTTGACACTTAGTTTAGAGAAAAGGTTGATCCCAAGATATCAGCTCATGGCAGCCCTGAAGTCCAGGGGGCTGTGCGCTGGTCATCCCAAATCGGTCACATATATGCTGTGTCCAGAGAAGAAGTTCTTGGAAAGGTATGTCATCATCTACAAGAAGCAGTTTCCGGAGCTCATTGAATTGTACAGTGCGAGAAAATAGTAGTTCTGGATTAGCTAGCTGTAGGTTTTGGCTCCTGCAATCCATGGTTTCTGGTTCCAGCCTTTTACTCTCTGCTTAACTTGATCTGCAGTTTGAGACTTATTAGTAATATGATTTATGTCATTTGCTTCCTTTTTTTCTGGTGCATTAAGAGGAATGTAGCTGCATACATGTAGAAAGAAAGGAAAGCAATATGAAGTGGAACACAATGACTTCTTGTAGCATGTTGATTCGGTCAATTGTTTCCTGATAATTTCCTGCATAGGAAAAATTATATACTCTAGGAATTTGTAGGAATTGATACTGTTGTCCCATTCTTTTTTTTAACCTACTTCTGGGAACACATTTGGCAGACATGTGTGCTTGTGTGTGTGTGTGTGTGTGTCGTAGACTATGAAACTGAAACCAATTCTTTGTTTGATCTATGGCTCTCCTTGATGTGCATTGAAGTAGATGCTTTGCTTATGTTGTAGCTGATATCATTATGTTATCATGAAAAATTTTGTCATAACCCGGGCCTGATAGGCTAACTGATCTATCAACTTCGTTTGGTCTAAACCACTGATTAAAATGTTTAAGCTGAAGTTAATAATAGTACACTCATCAGACTCTTATAAGTCAATCTTAATCTTGCCCACTTCCGATTAGGGACAAATCAGGGGTGTTACAAATTTTGAGATGATGGTTTCAAAGGTCACATTACTATTACACTATGGAGTTATATGGTTGCATCCTTTTTTTCTCCTTTTAATGAAAAATTGGTGCTTTGCAATTAGCTACTAGTGAAGTTCATGTTTATTTTGATACGATACGTCGAATCTACGTGGATGTTGTCTAAGATTGATCTAATTTTGGTCAATTTCTCAGCTGAATCAGCTATAATCGTTTGAAAATACTTTGAGTTTATTGATTTTTGGGTGAATTTTACACTACTTGATGACCTCAAACTCAAAGGGAAGAAAAAAGAAAGACGGATGGAGAAGAAGAAAGAAAAGAGGAAAGTTGAGATGGTGAAAAGATAAAAGAAAAGAGAGAAAACTGTGATTGTGATTCTAAATCAGAGGAGGGAACATTGCTTTTGCTTTGCTTGCTATTCACTGCATCCATCCACTGCATTTGTTGTTTACTACTCCATCCATCGGGTAGAATAGTGGACCCCATCGGTCTTAGCTCCCTTTCCTTCTGTGAGAAATACTTGTTAATGATTTATACAACACTAATTTTAGCCTAATTTCAATCTATCGAGATGTCAAAATATCAGTAAAAAAAGAAGAAAATTAGCTGATAAATGAATACGTGAATAAATTTGTGGCACAAACTCTTGTCTCGTCACAGAACCATCGTATAGTTGTACTAAGATAATAACATTAATCTAAAAATCCATACACAAATAGATAGATTATATATATATATATATATATATATATATATATATATATATATAGACACACACACGCACAAACCTCATCCAAATCCCCTTTCTCTGTCCCCATTCTCCGTCCGCGATACATCGTCGTCGCTTTCCTTCGACAAATGCGGAGAGAAGACAAAGATTTGGAATTCGACCGCTGGCCAATTCGAAGCCCCATTTGGTTTGGCTCCCCCCTTTCCTCCTTCCTCCCTTTTCTTGCTCCGAATTAAATCTTCTTATGTGACGTTTGTCGTCTGAAACGACGATTCTCTTTGCTATCATGCATTTGATTCGTCTACACGAGGAGGATTGTGGTTTGAATTAAATGAGTACTGTGGGTTATCTACTTGTTTTCATGATAAAGGGGAATGACAAAGAAAGTCTGACAAAAATGCCAACCATGACATGAATCCCAACACATTATTATGTTCCGCTGAAGTTTCATTGGACTTAGCCAGTGTAATTCTTTCATTAATTTGTTTAATGCTTATAAGGAGCAACATACAGTTGGATGACGTGTCCAATGTATCCAAATTGTGAAATTGGAGCTATAATTTCTCCCGTTGCACTACACATTCGATGACCTAGAAGTGGCAGAAAATGAAATATAACTTTTACATCGCAGTTTTAATACTTAGATGCAAGTGTTGGGAATCTCATTAGTTATTGGAATCGACAAGACACTTTATATGATCCACATGTCCAATAATAATAATGACCAAACACATTTATCAACTAGTCATAAATGAGAGACTTTTCAGATATTTAAAATTATTTTAAATTGTTTTGATGATGAAAGAAAGCATTAAGTATACTTTAAAAAAAAAATAAAGGATTGGTGTCCCTTTTCTGGCCTATCTATACCATCAAGGGATAGACATTAAGTTCCATAAGACATATATTAGAAGACACCAGTTGTTTCTTAATAAATTAATCTAAGGAATCCAATATGTGAAATAATCAAAGGCTTACTCTTGGACAACTATGACTCAAGGTAAGTTTATTTCGTTTCATGTCCAATATAAATCCATTGTTTTGCTTACAACAAGAGCATTTCAAATCTGTATGTATATGAGTTTTCTAATCTACTGTTCTCAATATTATTTTTTAAAACTACATAGAAAGAAAAGAAAAGTGGTGGATAAAAATGTAATATTTACATGGTAATTTTAACTTTTAGATACAAGTGCACTTCGAGCCTGTTTGCCTTTGCATTTTATAATTATTCTTTTTGAATATTGTTCTTCAACACTACTTAGAAAGAAAACACAAGAAGGTGCTACAAAGGTGCATACACAGACTTCTTGAATTTTTGCTGCAAGAAGTACTCGTGACACTTGTTTTATGGCACAAAAAGTGCTGTTCGTTTCAATGGTACTTGAGTGACACACTAAACTCAGCTCTAGTAGATCATATGTACAATGGGATCTAACATGCTGTTGTTCCTTTTTTCATGCTTTTTGTAAACTTGTTATGTCCAAGGTTGTATTACTCCTTTCTGTTCAAGAACATGCGAAAAATGCTGATTATTTCAGTGTTTTGACTTTTATTTCATGTCTCAACATGCTTTGTAATTAATCTTTAATTATTTGTTACATATGCTGTTGCTTACTGATGGGGTCAAGGATTTCAAATAACGTTTGTGATTGAAACTGAGGATTTGAAATAATGTTTGTGACTGAAACTGAACAGATAGAATTGTAAGGCAACAGAGATTCTCTGATGAACTCTATCTCAACGAATGGCTGTTATAATATTTTGGTCTTTGTTATATACATATTTACATGAATATTTCCTGTGAAATTTAGTTTTGTGGTATAAAGCACTATTATCAGCATGGTTTCTTTATTGTTTATCTATATCTATAATGTTTCATGTTGTGTTTTTCTTGGACTGCTCATTCAGTTCTGTTAATTCCCTGCTTTTCAGTTTTGTTTCTGTCCTCTCTCTATATGTGTTTTCCACAAGGAACCAATATTCTTGACCTTACATGCTATTCAATTATAGGCTTTTGGAATTGTTCCTCCATACTGAAACATTAGCATTTTTGTGACAATGGAAAATTTGATTTGTTCTTCTTATTTTTTGTATTTCTTGGAGTTTTAAAGTATGACGTTGTTATGCACGTGAAAGTAAATTGAACGGTGCAATTCTGCAGTTCTGTACTATATGCCCTTAGTTCTGGAAGATGAAGGACTGAAGTAGGTGCAATGGCATTGATAGCACATCACACACAGGTTCTTAATGCTAAAACCCATGCTGCTAATTTCGTAGCCTTTACATCCCCTTTCATTTTTCTGCACTTTCTTCCTTTAGTTGCTGTCTATGTCATGTTTGCTAATATTCATAATCAATAGAAGACTATAATATAGTATTCTAAGGTTATGCTGTTTTTTGTCAACCTTCAGGGTTCTTTTTCAACACATTCACTGAGTTGTAGTGCATCAAGTAGAAGGGCAAATGTGAGGTCCTCGATTGTTCAGTTGCTGTATAAAACACGTGTTTGTGCCCCTGAAGCATCATTTTCATTTTAGGTATGACTTAAACACGAATGTGTTCGAAAGGAATATGACCATTTTTGCCATAGTTGTTATTGGCTTTAAAAAATAACAGAGGTAGTTTTTTAAGATAAAGGAATACATGCTATGGATTGTTAATTTTACTAGAGTAATTGTTACTTGTAGGCTTGTTTAATTTAATGTTGCCCAATATCACTATACCTCCTCTTTGCAGCTATCTATGATTGGATTTAGAATCAGGTTCAGAGTACTTTGCTTCCTGGATTTGCAGTGGTACATGTCCGGAATGCAGAAATTTGTTGTTTGGTTTCATTGCTATGGTTACCATGTTATCCAAAATGAATGGTCTAATCCACAAAACTCACCCCCGCAGTTTGAAGAAGGTTAACATGTTCAGCCTTACCTATACAATTAAAGAAAGAGGTCATTTCCATTGACTTTACAAACCTAAGTTGAGGACAGAAAGGCAAACTCATCATGGAGATAAGGCTAACCTTTGAAGACATTTTTATTATAACATTTTTCCTCCCACTATTCAGCATCTTGTTGGGACATTTCTCACTATTCAGTATCTTGTTAGGACATTTCTTAAGCTTAAAAAATCTGGAATTTGAACATCGTCTCTGATTTTTATTTTGCTGTTAGTCTTACATTTACTTTGTTTGGTATAAACGGTGTAGATTGGTAATTGTCTTTGACTCTTTGTTTGGTTAAATATATTGCAGTGTTGTTGAAAATGTTTAGCTTATGATAAAACTTTTGGTGACTTTATGGTGAAAATTTGCAATCGACTGAATGAATGCATTCCTCTTGATGACATCGTGATATAGTATTGAATGTGGAAGAGTACTGCCAAAGTGATAGTGACCTTTTGTTGCCTCTGTATTATGATGACCAGTTGATTTTACAAACTAGACCATTATAGTTTGGCTGATTGATTTTGCAAGAGGCAAATCATATCTTACAAATGGGTATGGTATAAGATAACAGACATGATAGTATACCTTACATGCTGATATCGGCTGACATGGAGGCCTAACATTTTCAGAACCACATGAATAGATGTTGGTGGATTGCTTTTTATAGTTTTGATTTTTTGGAACCTTTTTATGTTCTTGTCTCTCATAAAATTGAATAAATAAGTTTTGATAGAAGGATTTTGTGGCACACATCTTTTTCAAATAATTGGTCTTAGTTAAGGAAAGTTGAGATTGAATTCCAAATACCATTCAGTCAGCTAACACTGCATGGTGCCTTTTTTTCTTTTCGTTCAAGAATTTTGACTTCTTTTACTCTTTTGATCGGCTTAGTCAGTTAGTATTTGTTGATAAGATCTATTGCTATGTTTAGATTCCTTGGTCTTACCACTTCGATTGAAGATCCAACCTAACTCCATGAGGTTGACTACGTTGGGCAAATTTCATCATAAAAAATAGGTTATTAAATATATGTGTACTAGTCTTTGGCGTATTATTTTTCATCGTTGTCTTTTGGAGGACAATAAAATGAATTTTTTATCCATTTTTTATGGGTATGTGTTTCTTTAGTAGTTTGGTATCATGAAATTAATTTTAGGTACCCATGAAACAGTTTGTATTAAAGCATATTTTGGTTGTTCAAGGTGTTGGGCGCGGAGCCAACCTCGATTGAGTAGGTTAGGTAGAAGATCCTACAAAACTAAATCAGAGGCATGCCCGACAAAAGTCTTTCCAAAGTAGAGCTGGAGAAATGTAATAGTTGCTTTAAAGGGTTCAAAGGGCTGTTAGGTGACTTAGCATACCTAGGACATTTTATATAAAGCTTTGGTAATCGTCAATATTAAGTGGGAAGTTAATTTGTGGAATTATTAAGCGTTACTCGATCGTGGAGAGTTAACCAAACCATCAGGACATTTCCATTAGCATAGTCGTGCGAACTTGGTATATTATAGTTGTCCAATGTGTTGGGCCATGGAGCTAACCTTGATTCAAGCTTGGGTCTATTGTCAGTTTAATCTCGCTAGATGATTGGGTTCAATAGGGGCATATGCAAAATTTAGTCGGGGACATACCAAACAAAAGTCTTTGATGCTTATGTTAGTATATCTAGAGAAATGTAATGTAGGATTCGGAGGTTTCAAAGAGCACTACCTAGGGCTTTTTAATAAGGGTTTTGATTACCATCAAAATTAAGTGGTTTCGTTGGATTGTTGGGTGTTACTCGGATGTGAGGAGTCACTCAAACCGTTAAGAGATATATGGCAGCTTCATGGCTGGATTTGACCATATTAGAGATACAGGGAGTTTCGTGGCTAGATTCGATCGCATTCGGGATAGAGAATAATTCATTATCATATTCCATTACATCGTTGATAAAGGATACTTTATGGTCATATTCGGCCACGTTGGAGAAATGATGCTTCATGTCGAAGTCAATTGCATCGAGGGCTCGAGATGCATCTTGGCAACATCATCAAGCTTTTTTTATCGTTTTTCTACCACAAGCCACTCCAACTACAAGCTCGACTTACCTTTGTTCTACAATTGAAATACGATTTGCTTTAGTAACAACGTCATATTAATTTTTGATGATTTGACATTTTTGCCCTGATACTTGATCTTTTATGTTTGATTGGGGCCTTCCATATCGTGCACCACTCAAATTAACGAAAAAGCTAAGGATAAGGTAGTGAAGGCCTAACAATGCCTGACCCCTATAAAAGGGAGCCTTAGTTGTATCTGAGCTTCCTACTTTACAAAGCCACCATCTTTGATACTAAACAAACAGGTGGCTGCAGTCTGTGGGCAAAGGCATCCATGGAAGCCACCTTCTTCATTTTAGTAGGTAAAAGCAGTTAACCTTACCTGTCTTCCCCACCCGATGAACAGCTTCCTTGAAGCTTCCTACAGTTTCTTGCACTCAGCTGATTGGACTCAGAAAATAAATATTTCATCTTATTTAATGTCAGTTTTCAGAATTATATACCCTCAGCAACCTTTTTTTTTTTCTATTCAAGGACATAAAACTGCTTTGTTGATAAATTTTGCTGTTAATCTCGAGTTTTGGTAAATTGAGAGCTATGTCATGATGTCTTTAGAACTAAATTTGGCACAACAGGATAAATTTCTAGCATGCTTCTTAACCCTAATGTTAGAAACCTAGTGGATTCAGGTACATGTTGCATGAAACTCCACACACTCATCAGGCTTGATTGAATTTTTATGAGACTCACATCGTGACATCCAAGTTGATGCTAATTTAATGATTTAGTTTGAGGAGTCATTACATCCAAATGCGAGCTTACTCAACGCACTTGATCAGTGTCATAGGAAACATATATATTATCATGATAGAGTATGAAAGCTTAGATTAGGTATATAAAACACTAAGTGATAGACAGAGTAGTATCAGCATGAATATGAATGTTAGCTAGATATATAATTCATGGTGTAGGATTCATGACAAAGGAGGTGAGTTGTACATTAAAAGTTGTCTTAGTTGCCCAGTGAAGAAAAAAAAGGCTTTTTCATTAAGTTCATGAACCTGAAACACTGGTCCAAAGTGTTTATTCATTTATTTTATGAGCCTTGAAGTATTTTTTTGTTCATCATCTCGACCCAGTCTGATAACTTATTAATTTGATGAGTATGAAACACTAATTCAAAGCACTTGCATCCATATTAATGAAAATAGACTTATTTAACAATCTGCCCCACTTATGTTTAACATATTGAACTTTACACTCAGCCATCTTTTCTGGTTTGGGTACCTCATCATGCCCATTAATAAATCCCCCTTGATATGATTTGTCACAACTTGATCTGAGGAGATATCTTAATAACATTATGAATCTGAACTAAGTGCTTAGGCCAAAGTTAATAACGATAAACTTATGTAGCTCTATATACCAATTTGATTGAGCTGTTGTATGTGATGTAGATCTAAACATGCGGCATCACATTCTTTTATCCTGCTATAAATGCTCCTCATCTTCATGGCTTCACCTAAACATCACTTGAAGTCCTCACAAGAACAGCCATGTCTTCTCTTGGAGCCAGCTATGCTTACATCCATGAACTGAGGAAACGCTGCAAGGAAATGGAGAGGAAGAAGACAGATGGTGGTGTGGCCACAGAGGAGAAGAGCTCCAAGGGAAGAGTTCATCCTAGTGACACCCCTTCACCAGTGTGTCGTGAAGAACGAGGTGAAGGTAATTGTTGGAGAAGCTCGGTCACCAAATAAATCCCCAAAAAAGAAAGATGATGAATTATTGGGTGTTGATGGGGGGCTTGTTTTACATTTAGACAATGCTATGTCCACATATATATATTTTGCCTTCCAATGTTCCAAGTCTCTTTAGTAGGGAAATGTGGGAGGAATAATCATCCAATTGTTTTCTTTTTCTCTACCTAGATACGACAGAAATAGATGTTGCTTTCATTATTAACATAGTCAGGTTCATAGCCATATGGAAGTTTTTTTAATGAATATTTTTCTTCTATCATATCAAATTGCACACAAGATACAAGCTCAACAATGGATGGTAATATTATGGAATAATCACATTTATGGCCAACTAAGGATCAGAATATTTTAAGGATGGTAATATGTATCCTAGAGATTATCCAAACTCAACAATGAAGACAACAACAATTGAAGTTTGTATGCGGGTTTCAATTTTACTTATAACTTAAATTCATCTTTGATAAGAATGATCTCTCAGCTGATTGTTAGGGTTGACAAGTATTTTAAAAATAAATTTATTTGGAGGATAAAAAATTTAAATTTTATGAAAAGAAATTTTTGTGAATCAGAGTTTAGTTGTCTTGTAAATATCTAATATATCTCAACGTCTTAACAAGACATCATGAAAAAAAAAAAAAAAAAAAAAAAACCCTTGGTGGTGATAATTTTATACTGATAATTTTGAGCTTTTATCTATCAGATTATTTTAATGTCCCTCAGACAACTTTTTGCTCGTGTCAATCGATCCTGTTGCCCAAGTGCAAGAATTCTGGCATCTTGATACTGAATTTGCTCCTTTTTTTTTCTTTTGTTTTCTTCTATTTCCGTTCTTTGGGTTGTAGACTTTGTGCTCTAATTTTGAGTTGGATTTCCTATAGTCTGAAAAGCTATTGCTCTTCTTCGTTCATAATCAGCCATATTTTTGCTCCTTTGGCTTTCAGAATCTGGTTGGAGCAAGCAAGTTCTTTTATGGATGTCATCTTTGGCATGGATTGACGACCTCCAAGCAGAAGCATTCCTCTGATCTGATCACCAGGCCTACTCAATCGTGGTCCTCGATGAACATGAGATAAAAGTACCTTGGCCTGCTTACAAAGTACAAGCTTCCAAGTGCAAGCTTCCTCTTGTTAACTCAAACATAGACTGGAGTAGCTTTAAGAGGATACCAGCTACTCCTAGAGTCCTTAACTTTCTGCTTAGAACTTCATAGAACACATTTTCTCATTTCGGACAGACTTGCTGCTTTAAATATTTCCTTACTTCATCAATTTTGGTGCTGCAGAATATGAGACTGAATCCATCCATAAAAGATCGTATCTTCTTTTCTTGTCAATTTGCTCGAGAGTTTTGGAACTACTTTCAGATCCATTTGAATGAAATTTTAATTTCATTGCAGCTTTTAAATGATTAAAATATTTTTATTTAGACAGATTACAAATCATATCGGTTTTTCTTGTTATCAGTTAAACAAAGTTGAAGGTTTATTATGATAAATTTATATATATATCTTATTATGATGATGGATTGTGGTCTGAAATCCATCTAATTAATTTGTATGCATAAATATTTTATCCAATGAGTTTATACATCTAAATTAACAAAAAAATTGGTCTAATAATTTTATCTAAAATATTCTATCCAATTTATTGAGAATATTAACTTCCATCTGCGAATTCTCTCTCCACCGCTTGCTCTTAGGGTTTCGAGGTTTTTTGCTTTTTAGGCGCAGTCGGAGAGGAAGGGAATACGGTGTTGGTGACGGTTTGTGTCTTCGGACAAGAAGAGGAGACCGATGAAGAGGTCACCGGCATTCTCTCTCTTCTCCAAAACCCTCTGCTTCATCTATCGCCCTCGTCCCGCCGATGCTCTACTTTCCTCCTCCTCCTCTTACTCCGTCGCCGCTACCGGAAGCGGAGCTCTTCAGCCCAGCTTCATGGCCGAATACCTCGTCACGACATGTGGCTTCTCCCCGGAGAAGGCGACCAAGGCCTCGAATCTCCTCGGCGGCATCGCGTCCCGCCGGCAGCCCGACTCCGTCCTTGGCTTTCTCAAAAGCCACGGTTTCGACGACACCCATGTGAAAGAGCTGCTGTCTGGGAACCCCCGGTGGCTTCTCCTCGACGTGGAGACGAACCTGGCCGCCAAGTTCCGAACTCTCCAGGAGTTAGGCTTCTCACAGTCCGACATCACCCACCTCGTCGTGGCCAATCCCTCCGCAATCAACTGTCGCGTCCCCACCATGGTGCACAAGATCCGGTTTTGGCAGGGACTCATCGGATCCAACGACCTACTCATAAAGGTCTTTAAGCGCCGCCAGTGGATTCTCGGGTATAGCATTGAGAAGAGGATCCAGCCAAACATCGAGATGCTACGGAGCTGTGGATTCACGGATCAAAAGCTTAGAACGATCCTGAGGTACCGGCCCACGTTGGTAACCCAGAGGGCGGAAACCTTGAGGGCTTTGATCAGTCGTGCCGACGGATTCGGAGTACCCCGCACCTCGGGGAGGTTCCACTGGACTCTGTTGATGCTCTCCACTCTTAGCGTGGAGAGATGCAATGCGCAAAAGAAGCTATTCGGGGCCTTCGGGTGGTCAGAGGCCGACTTCCTCGACGCATTAAAAAAGACTCCTGGTTTCTTGACATGTTCCCTGAAGAATCTGAAGATGAAAATGGAATTCTTGGTGAATGAGGCTGGATATGCTCCGTCTTATATAGGTCAGAGGCCTGTGCTTTTGACATATAGTTTAGAGAAAAGGTTGATCCCAAGATATCAGCTCATGGCAGCCCTGAAGTCCAGGGGGTTGTGCGCTGGTCATCCCAAATCGCTCGCATATATGCTGTGTCCAGAGAAGAAGTTCTTGGAAAGGTATGTCATCATCTACAAGAAGCAGTTTCCGGAGCTCATTGAATCGTACAGTGTGAGAAAATAGTAGTTCTGGATTAGCTAGCTGTAGGTTTTGGCTCCTTTTACTCTCTGCTTAACTTGATCTGCAGTTTGAGACTTATTAGTAATATGATTTATGTCATTTGCTTCCTTTTTTTCTGGTGCATTAAGAGGAATGTAGCTGCATACATGTAGAAAGAAAGGAAAGCAATATGAAGTGGAACACAATGACTTCTTGTAGCATGTTGATTCGGTCAATTGTTTCCTGATAATTACCTGCATAGGAAAAATCAGATACTGTAGGAATTGATACTGTTGTCCCATTCTTTTTTTTAACCAACTTCTGGGAACACATTTGGCAGACGTGTGCGCTTGTGTGTGTGTGTGTGTGTGTGTCGTAGTGACTATGAAACTGAAACAAATTCTTTGTTTGATCTATGGCTCTCCTTGATGTGCATTGAAGTAGATGCTTTGCTTATGTTGTAGCTGATATCATTATGTTATCATGAAGAATTTTGAGATGATGGTTTCAAAGGTCACATTACTATTAAACTATGGAGTTATGGTTGCATCGTTTTTTTCTCCTTTGATGAAAAATTGGTGCTTTTGATCGATTTTGACATGATACGTCGAATCTGCATGGATGTTGTCTAAGATTGATCTAATTTTGGTCGATTTCTCAGCTGAATCAGCTAGAATCAGTTGAAAATACTTGAGTTTATTGATTTATGGGTGAATTTTACACTACTTGATGACCTCAAACTCAAAGGGAAGAAAAAAGAAAGACGGAAGGAGAAGAAGAAAGAAAAGAGGAAAGTTGAGATGGTGAAAAGATAAAAGAAAAAAAGAGAAAACTGTGATTGTGATTCTAAATCAGTGGAGGGAACATTGCTTTTGCTTTTGCTTTGCTTGCTATTCACTGCATCCATCCACTGCATTTGTTGTTTGCTACTACATCCATCGGGTAGAATAGATGGAGGATTACAGGCAAAAGGAAGAGGAGGACAGAAGTAACCCATAACCTAATATGAACTGTTCCTGCTCCTTATATTTATTAAGTTTTAGCCAATGATTTTGACACTTTGGAAAATTTTGAACTAGTGATTGCATAGTGTCCATAATCATGCACATGGCAGAAGCACATGTTGTAGTTTCGTCAGCATCCGTATAGAATAGGCAGCATGTTTGGTTGGTTCAATCCGATCAATAAAAGAAAATATTTCACAGGTTTGTGGCTTGTTTTCGTGCGCCCTCTTCCTCTTTCATGCAAGCATGAACGATTGTTGTTGTCCGCTGTCCATTGCTCTGTCATTGATTTCAGGTACGCTTCCGCCTCCTCTTTCTTCTCATATTCTGCTTCATCCTCTTCCTTCTTTTTCTTTTTCTTTTTTCTTTCTTCTCATCTTCTCACCTTCTTTCTTCCTCTTTCTCCTCCCTACTCTTAACACATGGCTTTCTCTTCTTCTTCGTCCGCCTTCTACTTTCTTCATCCACTTTCATTTGTTTCTTCCTTTTGAGGCTTCGGTACATACCCGTACATAATGTGTCGGTATATATTGGTATCTCGATGTATGGATTGGTACGTATCGGTCTGGGCAGAGACCGATAAGTTACATCTGCAAGCTTCAGATGTCGAAGTGCTCGACAACTCGAAGAGTTTTCACTTGCTGCTCAGTTTCTGCTACAAAGCTCTTCTATCGTTAGCGGTGTAAGGTAAGTTTGTGTATGTTAACACTACCCTGTATACCACTGAAAAGCGCATTTTACACAGTATCTGCTACAAAGCTCTTCTATCGTTAGCGGTGGAATGTAAGTTTGTGTATGTTAACACTACCCTGTATACCACTGAAAAGTGCATTTTACACAGAATTATGTTGTATTGACGTTTTGGGGGAAATTTTAGTTTAAAATTTGCTGAATTTGGCTCTTATAAAATGCATTAACAGTTAAAAAATGACAGCATGAGTTGATGATTGCATAGATGTGAGCAATAAGATGCTAAAATGGATCCTAATTCTACCTAATAACTGGATCAAAATGAAAGTTTCAATTAACCGGATTAATTCGTTGATTAAAATGATCTAAAAATTGTATCCAAATGGAAGAAATCGATGAATCTTATGATCTAAAGATAATCCTCAAGGGGCAAAAGCAAGATCAAATCGGATCATACAGCACATGAACCCTAATCCTCATGGAACGATATGAGTTAAACTATGTGGATCTTGAGATGATTTCGACATATCGTTACAAATTTATCCATAATTAATCAAAACATAAATATTATATATGTTGAAACCTTATAAATTGGATCCGTGGCGCAATGGTAGCGCGTCTGACTCCAGATCAGA